AAGCTCCTGTTAGAAAAGGAAGCAGGACTTGGAGAAATTTGCCAGATAGTGTAATCCCAAAAGCGGGGCAACATTGATTCTATAATGCTATAAATGGGGGCTATATTAGGGTTTTTCCAGTATTAGGACTTTGAGAAGCAAGCGATCAAGGTTGCTGCTGTGACAAATGAGAACAGCTGGATGGTTTTCAGGCAATTATTTATATATAAATCATGGGAAGGGGTAAATCTTAGCCTTCTGTTTGGTTTAGTGTTGGTGGAAAGAAAGATGTGCGTTTTTTTATGCACAGACCCAAGGAAACCCCAGAGAGTAGAACAAGGCCCTCCACTATTAGCCACATTTGAAGCCTAGATCTTCACCATATTTAGGTAGACTGTCGCGGGAGATCACAAAGGAGAAAATCAGTTTAGAGCTCCTCCTTCCATATTACCCAGGGGTGGGCTGCTGGGGGTTTGCAGGGGTTCAGGAGAACCTCTAGCTAAGATTCTGTGCAGTTCAGAGAACCCCCAAATCCCACTCCTAGCTTGCCCCACCGACCTCACCTGCCACTCCTCGCCCCTCCCAGGAGTCCCCACACAGCCTGTTTTGGATATAGGTAAGTGCAGGGTACACGTAGAGGCTCAGGGAGGGTGAAAGAAAGGTCTCTGGAAGTTCGAGAATGCCAGAAACAGGGCCCGTTTCCAGCCTCCCAAGGGCCCGGAGAGGCCGTTTTCATCCTCCCAGAGGCTTGAGGAAAACCTCCAGAGCACGGGGAGGACAAAAGCACCCCACCCACCCAGCTCTGATGCAGGAGGCCAACTAGGCCACACCCACCATGGCCAAAAATTTTGAAGCCCACCCCTGAGTAAAAGTGGTTTTTTTGGGGGGGGGAGAGGCAGCAATACATGAAACCACAGCAGCTCCTCCAAAGATTGTTTTCAAGTAGATAATTTTTTTTAATGTGATAGAAACGGGAAAGTATTGACTACACAGAGAGCAATATCTTAATTGTACTTAATTAAATTGGGATTTAATGAGGTTTTAATTAGATGAAAGTTGTCCCATCTGAATCGAGCTGAGCACTTTTAACATCCTGCATCAGAGAGTACATCCGGGCAATCAGGACGTCAAAAAGAACTTACATTGCCTCTCTGATTGCTTCCGCTGAGTCGCACCCAGGCGCCCTGTTCAGGATAACCCGTTCCCTCCTAAATAGGAGGGATACGGGTGATCCTTTGCAGGGCAGGGCTGAGGATTATGTCCAATTCCTCGCGGATAAAGTTGCTCGGTTTCGGGCGGACCTGGACTCCAATCCTGCAGAACCAGCCAAGGCACTAAGGGATAATCTGGTAGGTCATCGCTGGATTGATTTTCAAGCTGTTACCCCTGAGGACGTGGACAAGGCTATGAGAGCTGTAGGTGCCTCCACATGCGTGCTGGACCCGTGCCCCTCCTGGCTGGTTGTTAACAGCAGGGAGGTGACACGGGGCTGGATCCAGGCGGTTGTTGCCGCCTCCCTACGGGAGGGGGTCTTTCCCCCTGCTTTAAAGGCAGCGGTGGTGAGACCCCTCCTGAAGAAACCATCTTTGGATCCAGCCGTTCTAAACAACTATCGTCCAGTCTCCAACCTCCCCTTTGTGGGGAAGGTTGTTGAGAAGGTGGTGGCCTTTCAGCTCCAGCGGTCCTTGGAGGAAGCCAGTTATCTTGATCATTCCAGTCAGGCTTCAGGCCTGGCTACAGCACAGAAACCGCTTTGGTCGCATTGACCGATGATCTCTGGAGAGCCAGGGATGGAGGCCATGCCTCCATCCTGGTACTCCTTGACCTCTCTGCGGCTTTCGATACCATCGACCATGGTATCCTTCTGTGACAACTGCAGGAGGTGGGGGTGGGAGGCACTGTCTTACGGTGGTTCTCCTCTTACCTCTCGGACAGGTCGCAGTCGGTGTTAGTCGGAGGGCAGAGATCAACCCCTAGGCCCCTAACATATTGGGTGCTGCAGGGTTCGGTCCTGTCCCCCCTACTTTTTAATATCTACATGAAACCGCTGGGCGAGATCATTCGACGGCACGGGATAAAATACCACCAGTATGCGGACGATACACAGTTGTATCTGTCCGCCCCGTGCCAACTCAATGAAGCGATGGACGTGATGAGCCAGGGCCTTGAAGCTGTTAGAGACTGGATGGGGGTTAACAAGCTTGTTCTCAATCCAGATAAGACCGAGTGGCTGCTGTGCTTCCCTCCCACTAATTGGCCAAGTGTTCCATCTCTCAGGCTGGGGGGTCAAATACTACGCCCCTCAGACAGGGTACGCAACTTGGGAGTCCTCCTGGACCCACAGCTGACTTTTGAACATCATTTGTCAGCTGTGACCAGGAGGGCATTTGCCCAGGCTCGCCTGGTGCACCAGTTGCGTCCCTACCTGAACCGGGAGGCTCTCACAACAGTCACTCGTGCCCTTGTGACCTCTAGGCTGGAGTACTGCAATGTGCTCTACATGGGGCTGCCCTTGAAGAGTATTCGGCGACTTCAGCTAGTCCAGAATGCAGCCGCGCGAGCGATCGTGGGTGCACCTCGTTTCACCCACGTAACACCTATCCTCCGCGAGCTGCACTGGCTGCCTGTTGATCTCCGGGTGCGCTTCAAGGTGCTAGTTGTCACCTACAAAGCCCTTCATGGTATTGGATCTGGGTACTTGAGAGACCGCCTACTGCCAATTACCTCCACTAGGCCAATAAGATCCCATAGATTAGGCCTCCTCCGAATCCCATCAGCCGGCCAATGTCGACTGGCAACTACCCGGAGGAGAGCCTTCTCGGTGGCTGCTCCGACCCTTTGGAACAAACTCCCCGTGGAGATTCGTACCCTCACCACCCTCCAGACCTTCCGCGTAGCCCTTAAAACCTGGCTGTCCCGACAGGCCTGGGGCTAAAGACTTCAACCCCACTCGAATAGTATGACTGTTGCGCTTTTTAACGATGTATTGTCTTCATGTTTGTAACTTGTTTGTCCTTCCCTCCCCTTGAATTGTGAGCCGCCCTGAGTCCCCTCAGGGAAAAGGGCAGCATACAAATAAAGTAATCTACAATCTACAATCTACAATCTTCTTTAAAACCCTACCATTTCAGACAAATGGTTATCCAATCACTTCTTTAAAACTTCCAATGTTGAAGCATTTACAACTTCTGGAGGCAAGTTGTGATAATGGCAATGACATTATGTGAAATCAGGAAAAGCAGCAATTTGGTCTGGACGGAAATGATCATATATAGAGCAATTCATCTATTCTGCCCTACAGATATTTGGGTGTCCGTAACAGTTGTGCCCACAGTTGTTTCGCTGCCCTGCTTGAATTATTGTTAATTATTGTTATTATTTCCAAACCTTTGGGCAGGGATTGATTCATAAGAAGAAAGCTGGCCAACATGAGTTATGACAAATAGCATCCCTTAATGTTTAAAAATGAAAAGACCTCATAAGCATTTTTAGAAAAAGTGCTGAGCGAGTGCATCCCAAAGCTTTACTTGAAGTGTATCTCCCCCTGGGATGTAAAGGCATTTTAGGGGATTTGTAGGACAGGGAGCAAATTGATGAATGATAATATCATTCATATTAGGCTACCTAATATGACAGCCATTTTGTGAGAGTGCCCATGACATGATTTCAAAAGCCAGATGTACATTTTGCTATTTGTTCAAATCCAATGAAAAATCCTTTGTGATTTCCTCAGATGTAATTTGTGTATTCCATGACAACATTAGTGGCACCTTGTAAAGGCAAACATTGGCATAAGAGCCAGCAATATATCCTGGCTAAACATGCTTCAATTCCCCCGTCACTCTGATAGCAATGCCAAGAATGTTAATATTTTATGAAGCTTGTTTAGATTATATGAGCAATTCCTGTGTCCCTTCTGCTAGCAATCCCTACAGGTGGGTATGTAAAACCTGTGCAACTGATATTAATTAATTTAAGGGACTGTGTCATTATGATACAGGCAGTCCTTGAGTTACGACCACAATTGAGCCCAAATGTTACATTGCTAAATGAAACATTTGTTGAGTTTGCCCCATTTTAAGACTTTTCTGGTCACAGTTGTTAAGTGAATCATTGCATTTGTTACGTTAGTAACACAGTTGTTAAGTGAATCTGACTTCCCCATTGATTTTGCTTGTCAGAAGGTCGCAAAAGCGGATCACCTGACCCCAGAACAGCAACTGGCATAAATATGAACCAGTTGCCGACCATCTGAATTTTGATCATGGGGATGCTTCAACGGTCACAAGTGTGAAAAATGGACATAAGGCACTTTTTTTCAGAGCCGTTGTAACTTTGAATGGTCACTAAATGAACAGTTGTAAGTTGAGGACTACCTCTATTGAGATGGCCAGTCTGTGGCTTTCAAACCACAAATGTTGTGTACCAGGGAAGGAAATGGGACAAATTATTGGAAAGAAATGTCTTTTGTTCCTTGAGGCAGTCAAGTATGAAGTCACACTAATTGTCGTTTGTTCTAAACTTAGTTATATGGTCATTACTTTTTTTCTGCTATTATTTCCAAAATTATTATTTTGTATATTATTTCCCCAGACATTGTATAGCTGCTTTGGTAACTCTTCAGGGTAGAGCTAGTCTCTCTTGAGTGTGCACCTACACAGCAACTAGTATAATAGAACCATATGTTGGTGTTTCTAAGACAGTGTTTCTCAACCTTGGCGACTTTAAGTCCTGTGGACTTCAAGAGCAAGAGCTGGCTGGGGGATTCTGGGAGTTGAAGTCCACAGGACTTAAAGTCGCCAAGGTTGAGAAACACTGTTCTAAGAGTTATAATAATTCACAATTACATGAACAGATGGCCAGGTGTAGGGTTTTTGTGGGATGTTTGTGTGTCTGCATTGAGATCACTGATTTTATTTCCTAAACATAAAGGGAGTTAACGTAGAAAACAAATTATACAGTCTCTTTTAATGATATCTTTTGGGCATTTCATTCATACCAACCAACCCTCTTTCATTTAGATACGAAGAAGAAATAAACAAACGCACTGGGATGGAATTCACCTTCACAACACTCAAAAAGGTAGGCAGAGAAGCATTCTTCAGATCCAAGCAGAGAACAGCAGTTCAAGGCTCTGGGTAGATAAATCATCTGTAGGTTTGATTTGGGCTTTTATACAGAATTGCGCATTTTTAAAAAAAGTAGTTTTGTTTGAATTGGATTCACATTGTCTGGTAATTCCGTTTTTACATTTTCGAAGTTTAGCTTTAATTTTCACCTTTTAAAAGCTTTTATCGTTACCACAACTTTTTCACTGCCACTTAGAAAGCAAGTGTAATCCAGAAAGCAATAATACCAGATGATTTTTATAGTGTTCCTTACAGGTAATAATCATAGATGTGCTGGTTTGGGACCTTGGTCATGAATTCTTAAAAAGTTTTGCTTGATTGTAACTTTTCCTCCAAAAAACAATTTAAAAGAAAGGAATTCAGGTCCTGTTTGGAACAATCTAGCATTCACTTATGCTTTTTTTAATCAAGCATGTAATTATATTGAATATATTTAATATATAATGGAGAATTTTCCAGCATTACCAATTCTAAACTTTCTAAAGATCCATGTCCCAGTACAAAATTTACTTAGGCTGGCTCTAAAGGAATGATTTTTCAATGTTAGTTGGGGTGATTTATGTGGTGCTTAGGCATCAAAAATTCTTATTAGGGCAGGCTGCTATTATTAACTGTAAATTTCTTTTAATTGTGTTCATCCTGTATTAAACATAGTTGCCTTGTTTATTCCCCTGATGTCTTTTACTTATGATTAAGGGATGACTAGTGAGCCAAGCCAGATTCCTTTTTTAATTTGCAGTGTTATTAAAATATTGTGGAAATCATACATATGGTAGAAAATGAGATCTGTAGAGGGATGTGCATAACCTGAATTCCTTAAATTCCCTAAATCTAGAATCCAAAATTTGAAATTTATAAAGGCAAGGCAGACAAATCTTACCCTCCACCCTGACTGTATTAGTGGTAACAATCTGGGTGGGATCATGCCCCTCTTTGAACAAGGCACCCCCTGAATGATACACTAGGAACAAGATTGTGCCGAACAATATCTGTGCCACTTCTCCTTTATTACATCAGCAAGTGCTGCTTATTCCTTGTTAATGTTATTGTGTTTGTCAATTACTATTTATTTTTACAGATTAAAGTACTGTATTAATAAATTGCTGTAGGGAATGCCTTAGAATCTCTCTAGCAAATATGCCCCAAGAAACTATTCAGATGTTGTGGCCCGCCAGCAGCCAGCAGAGCTAGCAGCAGAGTCGAACAGTGAGGAGGTTGGGGAGGAGCATGGGCCAGTCCTGGAGGCTGGGGAAGACTTGGACGAGGGCCTTACCGGAACGGTGTTTTGGTGGGCCCACCAACCTGCCCGCATTCCTTACCTCTATTTGAGGGAAATGGGCCACTTGCGTATGCGCACACAGTGTATGGCGTCTGCGCGACCTTGCCGAGCAGCTGGGGCATCACAGGGGGGTGGCTTGCCCGTGGTGGACATCCAGCCCCGTCGCACCATACCGGTTGCGATGGGATCCAGAACCCATCACTGAGCTAGAGCCTGTTCCCAGTGTACGCATGTGCAGAGCTGCCAGAAGAAAAGAACAACTCAGAAATCAGGGTAGGCTTGGGAGTAAAGTCACAGGTGGAAGGTGATTGGCCCCTCCCATAGGAAATAAAGAAGAACAAAAGGGGAGTGGGCTTTTGCAGGAAACCTTCATTTGCTCGTTAGATTCATTTCAGGAGTGTGAAGATCTGTCCGTGAATCTTAGAGACTCTATGCCCAGTCTTTCCTTGCACAGCACCTCATTTGAAAAAATGTTTACATG